CCCCCCCAAAACATTCTAAACATGTCACGTTACACGACTGTATGACAAAGAGCTCGATGCACATCAAACAGTTCACAGAAAGTTTTCAGTGAGATGGACAAGGTCTAGCACCTAAGGCCTATGTATGGATGGCAGGTGGGCGACAGCGTTAAGTCCTTCAATGAACCAAAACATTGTGTTCACTCAACAAACCAGCAATAAGATTTGGTCTGCGATTGTCTTGCATCCATGTAAAGAAACTTGGCAAAAAAAAAAGCTTTAGGTTTGCTTCCTTGGTTTTAATTTGTTACAGAGAAAGCTGGAAAAATAAAAGAAACAAAACACTCTCAAACCCAACAGTTCAAAAAAGAAAAAGAAAATTGGTTGGACTGTAAATCTATGAAGGTGTTGCATGTAGGGAGAATTACAAAAAGGGGAGGGGGTGGGGCAAAAAGGTCAGGGAAGAGGAGAAGCACAACCCCGGTGACAATTATCTGCAATCTGCTGCCCTACAACTGAATAATGACCCAAACCCAGAAGAACTTTGACACATTTAACTGGGTCTTGTTCCCAATCTATCTTCCAATAGAGCGCCGACTGTCCTTTTTAATATTAGACATTATTCGTGATCTCAGGTACCTCGGCACGAGTAAAGCACAAAGCTCTGCCGTCATTCTTTAAAAGTGATATTGTACAAAAATAACATGAACATGTTGTTGAAACCTTTTGCTACTGTTTTGCGTATTAAAATCCACCATCAGAGTCACATATAGGAAACTGCATTTTTCTCAGTTTGCAAATTTGGCAGAATTTATATAATATCTGTTTATTTATAAAATCTTAAAGTCAGTTTCACAGCTATGAGACATAGACATATGTTGAAAAAAGATGGATATTTCATGTTCTCTATCTTATATTTATATATATCAATATACATGTATAAATGTACTATGAATTAAATAAACAATAGTCAGGAGTGTGACCACAATGTTAGCTGCTGCTAAATCACAGCTTTTTAAACCCACCCGTGAGCACTAAATAACACACAAGCACAGAGATCGACATAAAAAGGACAAAATGATCACTGATAGGATTTTTTTTTTCCTTTTAAAATGCTCTAATAAATTCAACTAAGAGAAAGACAGACTTAAATGCAGACCTCATGTTTACTTCCCGCGGGTCCCTAAACGAGCAGGACCGCAGTGAAGTTTACTGTGATAAATCATTTTCACTCTGATCAAAGAGGTCGCCGCTGCTTCAGCGGCAAGCAGCAGAGTGCATCATCTACCCAATAATCATGCCACATTGAGCAGACAAAGGCAGGTGCAGAGAGTTTTTCAAGCTTTCAACCAAAACGGGCACGAGGGCCACCGCCACCATAGCCAAAGCTCTGCACCAACGCTTTCGACACAGTTTTCCAACCAGTTGGCATTATGATAGGCACTGCTGTTGGACTTGGTATTGCTTGGACAGATTTGGGATGGAGAGGTGGAGGAGATGGAGGAGACTGGGGGTGGGGAGGAGACAAGATACAACGATCACTCTTAGAGAAGCTTGAAGAGAGGGCCCGCTCAGGGGGAGGGGAAAAAAAAAAAAAAAAAAAGGAGCTTTAGCAGATTCAGTACCTTAACAGAAAAATCAATGCCTCAACCTGCAGAGACTGAAAACATGTCATTTACACCATCAGAAAGAAACAAATCTAGCTGAACAGCCACAACCTATGCCTGTTCTTGTCAAGCCCCTGGCACAAAACACAAGAGGGATAAATAAAGTGTAAAGGTAACAGTTGAGAAACAATCAAAAAGGCAACACTGCTGGTTCTGTTGGATCTTTTATCACTTTGCCTCCGTCTTTCCATTTGGGGGGTGGATTTTACATCGTTTTCCTCATCACATATAAGCAAGTTATCAGTCCACTTTAGTGCTTTCTGTCCTCAGACCCCCTTTCACTTTCTAAATCCCTGCCTCTCTCCCATAATATCACTACCGTGGTTGGTATCTAGAACTCAGCAAACTCCTTTGCACACTTCTCTGTGAAGGAGACTCTGATTTCTTCTTCGTCGTAGTCATCAAAGTTGCTTGTATCACCAGGGCCTTTGCACTTAGGAATAAAGGGAGCTTCCACCTGGAACGCAGATGGGAGACAGACGCACAGACAAAGCGGTTAAAGTGTAACTTCAAATGCAGTATTCAATGAAACACTCCTACATTGATATTTGTGACGTTTGTCTGATAATCAATCTGTGAACACCCTGCAGGACCATCAGTGTAATCATGTACTTTCCCAGATGCCCATATTTGAACTTAGGCTGCTTGATTAAGGCAAAAAAAAGAGAAAAAAAAGCCATAATTCTGGTTATTCAGCACAATTATTCATTAAATAACATTAATCAGTTATTTGTCTTTTTGCAGGGGATCCACATTAGCTTTAAATGTAATCAAACTGAAAAACACATAGAGAGGTGAGGTGGTGGTGGTGGGGGGGACAGGTGTCAGGTCTACCTATAAAGGCAGCTGCCCTTAACATACGTTTTATGCAGAGCTATTCAAACTTTGTAAAATCCTTTGACAACTATAACTGTTAATTAGGAATTAAAAGCTACAACTCAGGAGCTCAAACTTAACTATTTGTATTCATATTATACTGACAAAGGCTGAACATGGGTTTTCAAATTAGGCGCAGTGCTTTTGTTTTCTGCAGAATCCAATTTTTGCATGAAGGAAAGGAGAAAGTACTAAAACCTTTGCATATTTTTCCCCATTAACCTCCACTGAAATACCCTCTGTACACAGGCAGAACACAGTGAAATCATCCGCAGTCACAAAACACACCTAAGCTGACCGAAATCTCATTAAAAGCAGTTTCGTTTTTAAGGAAAGAATATAATAAGGAATTTTCTCCATTCCTTCAATTGTAAATACACTTATAAACATTAACTGTATATAAAAGATGGGTGTAGCTACCATAGTGACAACCATTGTTTGGAGTATTTTTTTTACGTTGCCATGTCAAGAGGTAGCATCGCTCTAAAGCAGCCCCTGCTTTTTTTTAATATTACTGTAAAAGTCCTAATAATGTACAAAATGATCAACCATGTGATTGCCATGTTCTATAAGACATGAAACTAGTGATTGAGACCATAAATTCTCAATCATCTGTCAAAATAAAATGAGCTACAGGGTCATTTTCCCACAGATTTAAATACAATCACCACCTATTGGTCATTAGAAAAACAGCTGGTCTGATGGACTTTTACCCCGACTCGTTTTTTCAGACCCCAGACTGTGTTTATATTTATGTTCACATTCCTATTGCATGAAAGCTGGCCTCTTACCTTCCTCTGGTAGATGGCAATCCAGTCGGTGGTGGCAAACCACTTGTGGCCCTTGATATCATTGACTCCATTCCTGAGGTTGCCAAAGCGCTTGGTCAGGTCCACTTGCAGCAAATTTCTCAACAGATCTTTCAGGTCTGAGCTGAAGTGGGAAGGAAAGCGAACCTGCGAAGCACAGAAAGCAATCAGAGTGTTGTTCGGAGTGTGTTCTCAGGCCTGAGGCTGAGCATTTTGGGGGGAAAAAAATGTCTTATTGTGACTTTTCTGACGTAAGAGTTCAACTTTAGAAAATTCAGCTAATTCAGTTAAAGTTTAACTGAAGTGTAATAACCATTCATGGCTCTATATTCTCATGCAAGGTTGAAATCGTTTTTATATTTGGTTTGGAATAAACTATTCATTCCTTCCTCGTATAATCACTTAAATACACTGCAAGACTCTAGACCTTCAGGTGGAAAATCACGCCCACCAACATGTCTACAGAGAAGGCGCTCTAGTGGCTGTTTTCAATTTTCCATGTCATGTGCATTTCTCAAAGCAGATACATTTATATTTTAATCAATCCTGCTACACACGCATAAGAGCTTGCATTTTAGTATGGCCCAAAGTATATAGTGATTCTTCTCATTTTGCTAACAAGCATTCTTGCATCCTCTTTCCTCCAGTGACCCAGAAATGCCACCCCCCCGCTATCATGGAAGATCTTCTAACAATCATAAATGCACCTTGAAGAAATGAGGAGCCTACTGGAAGAGCAAAAATGCAAGGAAAACCTGATGTATCCTTATTTTTCTCTCTCTCTTGCTATGAGAAGCAAAGGTGATAGAAAGTAATACCAGTAAGGGAAATAAGAAGATGTGTCTAGCATAATGAAAAGCACCCCACTCTCCTGTGCTTAAAACATGCACCTACGGTGTTAATGTACCTTTGACTCAATACAGTGCCTAAAAGACTCCTGTGTAGACATAAAGAGCACAGAGACACGGCTTAATTAAATTTGATGGTTCTCTGGTTGTGAGTGGTTATGTCCATTTGTTTCCACTCTCCTTTGAACCTTCTGCTGCATGAGACATTTGTGTCTAAGGAGTTGCTTCCACCTAGTTGTTCTTTTGCTTTTCTCACCACTGTTGAGACCATACGTGAAAGTCAGAGATGACATTTGGGAGCTATAAACTACACATTATATTAAACAGTTTTTACAGAGGAATCACGTCACGCACGACTTCTTTCTACTGCAGCTCGTGCTCTGCGCTGTCCTGTCTGCATTTGATTTTATGAGTTTTGCAGCGGCTTATAGAGTCGACATTAACTTTTTCTCTTGATTCATAGACAGTATTTCTCAGAAATAATAACTGAAAAGCTAAATGCGTTATTTTATACACTTTTCAAATCATAAAGGCTAAAAGTTCAAATGTAACAGTGTGTATTTGAAGCAGTAGTAGGTGGTAATAATGAGTCCTTAGTTGGGGATAAGTGCACAATTCTAATGACTAAAAGCCAAACTCACCTTTCCTGATACAATCTTTTCGTAAATCTGAATAGGCTGGTCTGCAAAGAAGGGTGGGTAACCAGCAGCCATCTCGTATATCAGTACTCCTAAAGCCCACCAGTCCACAGCTTTGTTGTAACCCTGAAGAACACATGAGAAACAAAGGGCATCAAACATCTCCGCTAACAAACACTTCACACTACAATGTTCACAGGAAACAGCAAAAAGAAAGCTGTTTCACAGTCTAAAAGCTGATGAAGCAATTGCTTCCTAAATTTCCCCTGTTAATCTGCTTAACACTTACTTTACTGAGGATGATTTCTGGCGCCAGGTACTCGGGAGTCCCGCAAAGCGTCCAAGTTCGGCCTTTCACCCTTTTTGCAAACCCAAAATCTGTTACCTAAGAAACAGAATAAACAGCCCTTAGCCGCTAGTCGCATACGGGGAGAGCACTTTTAGAGACACTAAGCAGCAAATGTTGTTGATGACGATTGAATACAAACATGTAACCCATACCTGTATGTAACCTTGCTGGTCAATGAGCAGGTTCTCTGGCTTCAGATCTCGGTAGATGAGATCCAGCGAGTGAAGGTATTCGAAGGTCAGTACAATCTGCGCTGCGTAGAAGCGGGCGTGTGGTTCACTGCAAAAACAACATACGAGGCTCAATACTTTAAGTCTGGGAACAGCACATGGAGGCCTTTCATCAGAGTTAACACAACTCACCTGAATCTACCAATCCTCCTTAAGTGTGAGAACATTTCACCCCCAGGCACGTACTCCATTATCATATACAGATTGCTGTTATCCTGTCGTGAGATGAGGAAAGACTTACTGACACGTAAAGCATGCACGCATAAACAAGCCGGCCAAATTACTACAGAAAAACAACAAAAGAGGAAGGACACAAATGCGTACCTTAAAAGAGTGCTCCAGTCGCACCAGAAATGGAAAGCTGACGGCTTGGAGGATACGCTTCTCATTCAGTGTGTGCTCTATCTGCTTCAGCTTCACTACCTGTGAGGGATCAGGACATAGAAAGGTAAGAAGGCTGTCAAAAAAAAAAACCAAATAAACAAAAAAAACCTCCCAAAACAATGATTACATCTCAGGACAGATTTCGATAAATTCAAATAACGCTGTGAAAAAGTAACCAAAAATGCACAGTACGGAAAAGGCCAATCAGAATAGCTGTGAGCAGTGTCGACCCATCGCGTAGTTCCATTTCTATGATGTGCTTGTCAGGTAACCCACAGGGTTTCAGGGGGTTTTGCAGTTATAATGTAGTTATGGCGTGAATTTCCCGAAACTTTGACATGTAAAGCTAGAAAGTGTCTTTTGACACTTTAAAACGTCTAAACTTCAACGTGACCTTCTGGAAATTCCAAAGCCAGTATTTGTAAGAACATATGAGAACAAATGGTTCATACAATCTTGGTATAAATGTTTTTGTACAAGGGATGCTACGATACAAGCCAGAGCACCCAATTGAGTCATATTTATTTACTCTCCAATATACTCTTGAATTAGGTTCTTCAAAAATACCGTACCTTCTGTTTGTCAAGTATTTTCATGGCGTAATGCTGACCAGACTCTTTGTGTTTCACCAACATGACTCGACCAAACGAGCCCGTGCCTAAAGTCTTCAAACGCTCGAAGTGATCCAACGCCGCAGTTTGCTGGGAGACAGAAGACCATGCCAGTTAGAGAACGATCACAATCTGTTTGTCCGTACAAGCCCCACATAGTTTTTTGCTAAACCTGAACTAAAAGGCCATCCCATATCAGTAACAAGATATTTTACTATGAATCTTCTTTGTTTGAGGCACACTCATGGTGAACTTATCTGACACCATCTAAACATGTCGTGGCTTCGGTGCTGATTAAGTGACCTTGTTAATTTTCCATAAAAGGTGCTACAGTAATCTGAGCACATCTCATTCAACACAAGTCTGAATGCATGCAGTTACATTAAGGGGCAAACGTGTGCAGTTGCACTCGCGTGCCTCTTTCTAAGCAGCTCGGTGCGCTACAGAATGCCTTAAAAAGCAATTACATGTTCACATTTAAAACTTAATTTCACCAAATCTCTTCTAATTATATTAAGTTTGAGAAAATCGTCTATGATTTATCTATGCTGGTCCCTCTCTCTTTCTCTCTCCGAGTCAGGGGTGGGGTGGGTCGTTCGCTGTAGCACCCTGCGCGACACAGAGATCATGCTTCTTCTTAACAATGGCAAAAATGGATATTCAAAAGCGTGGTCGCAGTTCACAAGAGTAGGTTCCACATCAAGTTCGGCAACTAGTCTTAAGGTGAAAAACTGCAGATGGCCTGTAGCACTCTCAGACACCGTTTTCGTGTCTGAAAGTAGCCCCGAGGAACATCTGCATAAGCAATCCACGTCTGGATGACAGAATGCTGTCCCCTTAACAGCCTGATAAATCCAGCAGGGTTATATATTCTGCGACTGAAAGTGGCTGTCAACTGTATTATTACACACATGCCCAGCAGAGGGCGTACTGCCCTTAAGAAATGAATGGGCTTTCATTAGTTTAGGGGCAGGCCTATTTCCATGACACTGGCTATCTGAGTAAATGAGCGTAAGAAACATTAATCAAGTCACGATTCATTGGGAAATACACTAATAATACAGTGCCTCAACACAACTAAAACTAAAGCATGCTACAAATAACAGAGTGACACAGTAATGAGGAGAAACTAAATTATGTCTCATCTCACCTGTGCTGGATTCTCCCATTTTTTCAGAAAATCTTCTTTGGCTTTGGCAAGAAACTCCTTCACTGCAAAGAGAAACAAAATTCCCATTCAGAGAGTTTTCACCCATGGATGTCTGGATTTATCTGGTCTTTACTACCTGGGCCAACATTTATCAGCTGCTGCCAGCAAGCAACAATGAAAGAGAACAAGCTAATACGTAGCACATAGTTAAAGTTGTCAAATTTGTAAATTTAAAAAAAAAAAAAAAATGCTATAGATGACCTTGTTCACAGAATAGAGAAAATAATACAACACAGCAATACTTAAAATTGAAATAGTAAAGCTTTAAATAAACTGGAGTCTAAACAAACTTCTATTCATTCTAGTCTGCTCTTTTTTGTTCTTACAACTAAGTGATCAATTTCAAAGAATTCCAGGTTGGTTTCATTAAATCAACATTTCTGCCATCGAAGAACAACTTTGAGGTATCACTTCAAGCTTAGACTAAACAAACTCATCTTTTGAAGCCTCAAACTTCTTTGACTGCATACTGGAGAATAATTGAGTAAGTAAAATGATATAAATCTGCATATATTTACAAATTCAATTTGAAAATACTGCTCAAAAGTCTGGGGTCACTTTGAACGTCCTTGGTGAAAAAAATCTCATAAAACCTGAAGCTGATGAGAAATCTTGAAAATGATGATTCACGGAAGACTAATGGCAACACAGGCGTAAAGAGACTCATTTTCTGGCACACTACCATTGGGAGTCATGTTTCAAAGAGTCTTTGTTATATAAAACAAGTTTATCGTGTTAAAGGTTACGCAGATCACGTCAGTGCTTGAACCCAAGTAATGCAGGACTTTTAAGACTGATATTGCTATCAATATTTAGTGATTTAAAAATCCAGTATATGGATTATATTGACCAATACTTTTTCTTTGACACTTGTTATGTGTAGTTATGTATGTAGCAGTTTACATTCTGTTCCAATCGCCTCATCGTTATTTGTGGTGTTCCAAATATGTGCTGGCAACCAAAGAGCTGCTCTCTGACAGATAAACTATGCCACATCAATTCACGTAAAAATGATTAAAAGGCCTTTCTCAATTGCTTTTATTATTTTTCAAATGTTCATTTATCTGCCATTAGAAATGCAGAAACTAATAAATTGCTAATACTGAACACTGATAAATCAGTCAGGATCTAGTCAGCAAAGCCGAAATCAGCCTCTGCGAGTTTGAGTTTGTCAAAATGACATTGAAATCCTCACAGTCTATTTCTTCGTATAATAAATTAAAGCTATTCCGTATGGGACTTAATTTCCAAGACACTTAGGTCCTCATACAAAAGCGTGTACTATGTCGTCCAAACCCCAGAGCAGTCTTATAGTAGTATTTAATGAAGGAGATAAGCCACTCAGATCAACTCAGCAAGTCTGCAACAGTTTTCAGGGTTTTCCATTAGGTCATAGTACCGGGTACTTTTTTAGTGACTTCTCAGGTGGGGTTCCAAGCAATCCGAGGAGGTACTAAACTGTGACGTCAGATTTCATGGCAGCTCGTTAGTGTCACCCATGAGAGCATCTTGTTTACAAAAGTCAAAAACGCCATTTTTGAAACCCGCCAACGAGGGAAATGGCTACAAAAAAAACCAAAAAAACAACCCAGTGATCCCCGAGTCTGATGACAAGCCACAGACTGAGCAGCAGGTATATTCTTGTTATATTCGCCCACCTTTATTGTAGTGTTCGTGTCGCATGTTAGTTACGTCGTGGGATTGTAATGGAAAACCAGTCGATCCGAGTCGAATCGTGGCGAGTCAATCTGAGTAGGTACTAATGGAAAAGGGGCTTTAGTTTAGGACTTAACTGAGAAAGGTAAGTACATCTAGAGAAACAATCAGCTGCGCACTGAGTCCTGGCATTTATCCGTTAAGAAAGTAATTCTGTCCTGTTCTCAGGGAGTAGTACACACATTCATATGAAATCTTCAAGGTTTCTTTATCCTGCATTTAACAGCCTGCCTTTATCAGAACAAGAACACTAACAAGTTTTGGTAGAAGCATGTTTATTTTTTGGCTATTTTAGGACTCCAACCAACTAATGACAGTCATAACACTTGCACTCAGCTTGAATGGTACACAGATGGAGATGACTTTTTCTTTAATTAAAAAAAAAAGAAGAAGAAAAAGACATTCCTAAGTGGTACACATTTGAGTGGCATTGTAATCCTGTGGACAGACTGTAACAACTTTACACACACAGTCATATGAAGAAGTTCTTTTTTTTTTTACCCCTTATCTTTATGGGGTTAATCTCAGTGCTCTGTGGGAACATGTAGATAACCAACCCTTCCTCATTCTTCCTTAGTGTCAGTGCACCGGGCACAGCTGCTGAGCTGAAGTGTGCTATTTATACTGTTAGTACTGGAAACAGAATGGTGACAGTTGTAGGCCGACAACTGCTTTAGTAAAATTCCACTTTTCTGTGTTGCTGTTATTACAAAAACATAAATGAAGTGTGGAGAACGACTCAACGACTTTTAACGATCAGTTTATAAGCTTAACAATTTTGACATCTTTTTAAAAGAATTGAATTCAAGCGAAAGCTTATGGATAGCTGTTACCTTAAAACCAATACTAAAACTACAAAAATGTACAAATCTCTTAAAAAAAAAATGTGAAGGCTTAAATGATCATGTGGAATTTCTGTTTGCTTTGGCGATCAATAGAACACAACAGCCTGGGGCACAGTTTAAATTAAGCCAGTCAACTGTCAATAATGAAAGTGCTCGGTCGTTTATTCATCAGCTTTGTGATACGGCTAATGTCCTTTTGGAGCGATGTCTGAATCAGAAAACTGAAAATTAATTATGAAAAACAAACAGCTACCTACTCATAAATGTCTCGTGCAAGCATTTGTGCATCTCTCTCTCACACACACACACACACAAACACACACCAAGAGAAAAGCTTAATCCTCATCTAGCAAACATAATTTCCTGCAAATTCTCAAAAGACCAGTAGCTCCAACAATTGGATGGGAGAAAGCAAGCAACAATGGCAAAGACTAAAGTTCCTATAAACATGTCAGGAGCACTGTGGCTCTCAGAGAGCAATGGAAGCAGAATGGTCACCAGGGAGAAAACATTTCCTGTGAAAGTTGCACAACTTCCACTTCCAAGCAGAAAAAGCTATTACTGGAATAACTTGGAACTGCGCAAAGGAAAGACATGGAAAGAAGTTGCTGGCAGCTATATGGACACAGCAACAGGACTGGTATCAAGGAGTACCAATGGAGATGCAGCTGATCAAAATAAATATATATATATATTTATTTTTTTAAATCCATGTTCTTACTCTCCTGTAGCTCCAAATTTCTTACCATCTGGGAGGACTATGGGTACCTCTGGTGCTGCAGCATCTGCCGAGCGAGACCCCGATTCACTTGAGCGTGAGGATGACTCCCTCTTCCCTGCATGCCTTCTGGAGCTCTTCCTGTCACACATTAGCCCTGCAAAGTCTCCCCTATACTACTTCTTGGCCTCTTCCTCACAGCCACTGACTCATGACCTATCCTCCCCCTCTGACAGCACTCTGGTCAAGTCAGCAGGCCCACACATCCACAAAAACCCAGCCAAAAGTCCCTGCCGGCAGTCTTCAGTCTTTCCTGTGACTTTCACTCTGCTGGAGACCAAGTTCAAAAAGTAGCATCCACCTCCAGTGTGCACTCATAGTATGGAGAACAGTGCTGCTCCCGTTAGACTCGAGCAGATCAATTGGTCCCTTGCTTGGTTTGTATCAATATTTATTCTGTACACAAAGTACTCACTGCTGTTCCCTCTCATGTCTCAAACACACACACACACACACACACACACACACACTATATTGATCTAAACAGGGGCATAATCATCAGGGGGAGGGGGCATAAAACACTAGCTGGTATATTTATCCAACCCAGAGATGAAGTCCTATGGAAAACTAGGCCTAAGCAAGTACCCTTGAGATGAACTAGACAAATCTAGCAGCAGCTAAAACTTTCCCCAATTAGCACAACCAATCAGATGTCACTGATGAAAAACTTTCAGAGATGATCTGGGTGTTTTCAGAAACATAAAAAGTGCCACTCTCAGGAGACGCTAGCAAAACAGGAAGGCACAAACCACAGTGAAACCCCCCCCC